GTCGTTATTCACACTGGTACTCCAAGAAGCTTAGATCAGTTCTAAGAAAAAAATGTCATTGTCAAAGGAAATATAAGGTCGCGCATTCCGCTTTTTGGTAGCTAAAATTTTCTGAGTCGCGTGCGCTAGCTAAGATATTGTTGAAGCGCGATAAAATATTACACCGTGAGTCAGTAGAGCGTAACTTAAATCGTGACCCGATGCTTTTCTGGCGATATGTAAAGGAGCACACAACTACAACTTCGTCATCAATAAACATAGATGACTCATTTGGTAATATGCTGTCTGAGCCCGAAGATGTATCGAATGCATTCGCGAGTCATTTTTCTTTGGTTTATTCTTGCGACCAAACTGGACTGCCTGTGCATGGCGTCAGTGATAATCCTAGTGATCACCTGTCAATTTTATCTTTTGAAATTATTGATATTGAACTTGCTATCAGGAAACTGAAGCCAAAGTTATCAGTTGCATTTGACGGCATTCCACGCTTCATTGCTAACGGATGCTCGTCTATTTTTGTGCCCGTCTTAACGCATATTTTTAACTTGTCGTTGCAGAGCCTTACATTTCCTTTCCTGTGGAAGAAGTCTATTACTGTGCCAGTACATAAGAATGGCAGAACAGATGATGTAAAAATTTACAGACCTGTGTCGTTGCTATCTCCCTTTGCTAAGATCTATGTAATTCTTTTATTTGAGCGTATTTCAAACTATTTTAAGCATAAGATAAGCCGTTCACAACATGGCTTTATGCGTAAGGTCTGTTGAGACAAATCTGGTGTCTTTTTTAAGATTTGTTTCACCTACTTTGTGTCAACGTGGACAGGTAGACGTTGTATATTTTGACCTTTCTAAGGCATTTGATGTGGTAGACCATTCGCTCTTTACACACAAACTAGAATCATACGGTGTGAGTACCTCCCTTTGTTCCCTGGTTCTAGATTATTTGTCTAATAGACACAATTTTGTTCGTGTTCTTGGACATCACTCCCGGCCTTGTGTTTCTTCTTCGGGTGTGCCGCAAGGCTCCACACTTGGGCCGATCTTTTTTTAATGGTTTTATGAATGATTTGAGCTCAATTGTTCGCAATGCGGTCATCTTGCAATATGCAGATGATGTCAAGTTTTTAGGCACATCATATCCTTGGAAGATTGTGAAAAACTTATGGAGGATGTTAGGCGTGTGTGCAATCGGTGTCGTCAGAGCATGCTAGTTAATTGTTTGTAGTTGCTGTTCCTCCCGGTGGTGTGGGAGGCAGGTTCCACTCCGATGGTCTGGAGCGTGGTGGCACGAACGTCGCTGAGTGAAGGGCCGACTCACTGCTTGTAGAGAACTATGTGCATTTATTTACACTCTAGTTACAAGTCCCAACTTGGGAGAACATCCCGCCTCGTCTAAAATCTCGACCCCCGTCCCTAATTTCTCTCAATCAAATCCCAAGTCCGAATCCCTCCAAAATCCTCTCCGCACTCCTTTTGTAGGCCCGTAGGGGCCTCCTTTCCCCTCAGGAACCGACCAATCTCTTCAAATTCCACCACTCACACGTGGTACACGGTTCTCCAATGGTCGACCAGCTGTCAGCCTGGCGCTCCAACCGCCAAACCTAAATTACTTGTAGAGTCGTTCTCTGCAATTTTCCCAGCCTGGCTGGCGCCAACCGCTAAATTACTGCATCGTACAAAAAGCGACAATTTTACACTAAACGATAAAACCCTCCATACACCGGCACACTCGGTTATCATCCACAAGCGGCTGCAAGAACGGGCTGTCCCAGAGGTCTGTCCAAGCAGACTCCCGAAACCCGAGACGTTTCTTAACGACTGCGGGGGAACCGCTCCCGCATCTCGGCAGCTCTGCCCACGCAAATGCTCCCTCCAAAACGCCGACACCCACAAAGAAAGCTAAAAAAAAACAATGCCGACGCAACTCTGGAAAGTTCCAACAAAAGAAAACACCTAAATTAATAAGCATGTTTTTTATATGCCTAACTATTCTAACGCTCAATCCTTCTAAAACCGGTAATATGTCTTTGTCTAGAAAGGTGGAAAAAATAAAATTTTGGTACCAGATTGGCAATGATCCGCTGCGAAGAGTCGAGTGCACGCGTGATCTTGGTGTATACATATATAGACTCATCATTACACTTTACTGTACACGTTAACAACCTTATAAATGACTTTGCATGAGCTGAGAGTAATTTCTAGAATCACGCGTAAGTTCTCCACATCAACCCGTATTCCACGGTTATATTTCTCGTTAATCCGGACCAAGTTGGAGTTTTCCTCTGTAGTCTGGAATCGTATTAGTTCTACGTGCCAAGAGATGATGGAAAATGCTCAAAAGCGTTTTTTTTTAATTATTTATGATTTTTACATTGGTCGTACTGTTTATTATTCTTATGCGAGACTGTTGGAGCGATGCAAATTCCCTACTTTGAGTTCTAGGCGGCGTGAGCGCGATCTTGTTTTCCTGCATAAATGTATTCATGGATTGATTGATTGCCCAGATCTCACATCTGCTATTAATATTTACGTTCCAAGTAGAGTTTTGCGAATTTATTTGACATTCAATGTTAATCGCATCATCCCAACCAGTCCCATGACCCGTATTCAACAATTCTACAATACCCTCAGTAAAGAAGATATTGATGTTTTTAACCCAAATTTCGTAGCTTTTAAGACTTTTGTAACTAACCTTTGAACATTTTGTTGTGCATCATTATCAAGGCGTCAAGCTGTTCATGAGCACAGAAAATAAACAAATGAATGAATGAATGAATGAATGAATGAATGAATGAATAGTTGCTCTTAAAACAATAAAACGGTTTAGGTTCACCAACCTGTATGACGAAGAGCAACAGTTCAGCTTTCATCGTTCCACGGTTGTCACCGAGCCCATAGGAAAACTGTCGAAGCGCACGGTCTTTTATAACCGATACTGTCGTTGTCGATGGTGCTGCCATGACGAGAGGCAGAAGATCCGACGCAGCAGATTCGAAGATAGCGCTGGTGGCTTTTCCCGTTCTAGGCGGTTGGGCGGGCTTGGATGGGCCCTGTTCCGGGTGATTCAGGGTCTGTAAGACGAAGGGCAACAGTTCAGCTTTCATCGTTCCACGGTTGTTGCCGAGCCCATGCACAGAGTTCATGAACAACATTGGCCTTCTAGTTCTGACGCCATGTTTGGGAACTCGTCTACTCGGGTATTCGCAACTCCAGAGGAGGCGACACCACCCAGCGGAAAACACGGGAAGGAGAGAAACGGGGAGCTGCCGTTTATTCAAGTGTGCAACGAAAACTGGCGCGGCCTAGTGGCCGAAATGTGAAACGGAGGAAATAGGATTTATTGCACGCCGTCTGAGAGTTGGGAATATGCTAGAGTGTTTAGGATTTAGAAGTATTTCAAGCGTAATCAGTTATCACTTAAATTTACTCGTGGAATTAGCACGTGCGTCTCCAACAAGTTGACGCGAAAACCGTAACAAATCTTGATGATACTTTAAGGGACAATGCTTGCGGAACTTTTTACTGAAACAGAATCGGAGAGGCCCATTTATGTGCGAAAAAAGAAATCTGCGGCTCGAAATCTGTTTTTTTGTCTGCCCAAAATGGCCGGTCGAGAATCCGGTGTTCAGTGCTGCTCTCACTCTCTTTCCTACGGTCACGTGTGGAAATGACAAAGTGAAAAAAAAAATATATATATATATATTAGCATTTCTAGGCCATCTAAGGCACATACTTCATTATTAGAATCCATTTTTAATCATTGAAATGTAATGTCTATGACCACGGAAAAACAGTCAATCAATCAATCAATAATTACTTGTAAACAAACATACAGAGACAGGCCTGCCAAAGGCACATGGCTCTACTGGCAGCGCCTAGCAGTTACTCCAATAAAAACAGAGCAAGACACGTATTCTCAACTACTATGACGTCACTGTAACCCACTTTAGCCCTGCGACTTCTGTTTAGGTTCGTTTCATCTATCAGCGAATTCGCGACTTGTACGCAGTTAAGAAAAACAAAAATGTAGTGTATAGATTATCATTGGTGGGTGTCAGTGTTTCTTTAATATTATAAACAAAAAATCAAATAGTCCTTTTTGAAACAGAAGTTACCGTATTTTGAAGCGCCACCGTTCCTCCTAAAAAGCATCAGTTCTTCCAATACATCGAACTTCGAAGCGACGTTTGTAAACAGCGCGGCACTGACATCACGCTGCTGCGGCGGCGTTGCCGTCGGCACCGCCGAGAGCTCAGACGTTTCAACTCGGGCGTATCTAGCGCCTCAAATGGTGCCCAATGTTTGGCACGCATAGCTCCTCATCACTTGATTCCAGTCGATTAGGCAGTTTCAGACGTGTCTGAACGTGAACAGGTCGTCAACAATATTCAACCAGCACTTTTCTTCTTTATTATTATTATTATTTTTTTTTTATTTGCAGGCTCACTTACTAACTGGGCGCGGAGCCCACCAATGATAACTAGTTTGTTGCCCCGGCTTTCGAATGAAAACATCCGGAGGATGGGCGACGCGAATTAAAATAGCAAAGAAAGAAAAGAAATCGGTCTGCCAGCTGATAGAGCCGTGTCTTGTTGGGGTTGCTCGCGACCCGAGAGAAAGGGGTGTTTCTCTCGCTCCCCGCGCTCCATGGAGGCACGTGTTGCAGGGAACACGCCGAGCCACCGCTCGCAAACTGGAATCAAACAACTTGAGAGTGAACGAATAAGCCTATCAGCAGCCAACTGGGAAGATGAGTAGAAAGAAAGAAGTGAGTGAGGAGTCGTGGTAAAGTAGAGAAAAACGTTAGAGAGAAGTACAGACGAAGCAGAAATGACGGGAGAGAGAGAACCTCGCAAATAAGTAGAGGAACAAAACCGCCACGCAGGCATCGTAGCACACGAAGCCAACGAAGCCAGTTGTTGCACGCTCTCCCCTCCCTCCCTCCCTCCTCCCCGCTCTTCTAAAAAGGAAGTGACGTGAGGTTACCGCCGTTGCACGAGGTCTTTCCTCCGCCGCGCGACAACGAATCCCTGCCGCCCTGCCGCGCTGCCTCGCCCCCTTTGCTGCTGTTCCGTCAACTTGGCAGTTGCACAAAACCGCCGCGCCGTTGCACTGGGGGTTCGGCGAGATAGGAAACAAAAGAAAGATCCGCCATTAAGTTGACGCAAGAAAGAAAAAAGAACGGCAAAAGATAGTAAAAAAAAGTAAGGGAACAAGCCTCATGTCACAGGAGGGCGGCAGAAGCAAGCCTGCGGTACGGGCTGGCGGCAGTTCAGGCGAAGGTGCGTCGCATTTGCTCTCGGACTACCGCGCAGGTTCGAGCGAACCCAACTCGGACATCATGGAGAAGGAACAGATGACAGGATACGATACGAACGGTACGTTTGATTTCTCTATGTATTTATTTATTTATTTTGTGTGTGTGCGCGTGGTGTGGATGTCGTGCCGATGCCACCCCTCGGTCTATAAATAGACGGTCCCTGACTCGGTCGCTTGTGTCCGTGCCGTCCACGCTTAGAAGTAAGTGTCGCATGTGCATCGTTCGTCGTCTGCTAGAGCGGAGCGCCGTGCCATGAGTTGGTAGTTTGCGAGCGATCGTCTGCGGAGCTGCCGGTGGGGGCGCACGTAAACAAATCGTCGCCACTGGTGTTTCGCATCAAAATTTCTTCTCCCGCGGGCCTTCGATATCGATATTTTTACGAAATCTCAACAGATTCGAAATTCATACGTGTATCTCCAAAAGCATACCCGGTGAAAACATGCTCAACCGAGCTTACACTTTTTTCTCCGAGCCACTGGAGGTCAGGAATTTAAATGTACGCATGTTTTGTTTTTCGTATATATAAGTTCTCCCTAAAGACGATTTTTTTTTCCAATCGAGCACCGGTGTTATGTTTATTTGATGGCCCACATATCTAGCCGGCGCGGTAGATTAAGGTAGATGAACGAGGCAGGGCCAAACCGGTCCGGCGAGAAGCCATTGCAGGACGCAAAATCCACGAACGTAAGCTATCATTCCATCTGGCGAGAAAAGAAACAAAAACAAACCAAAAAAAAAATGCCGTACCGAACTCGACACTGTTGAGTAGATCGTACGCGGTGCAGGGAAACGAAACGGACCCTGTGAACCGTCCATAGTAATCGCCGTCTGGCTTGTTTACGCCGCGCCACTTATCTCTACGCATGCGCGCTCTGCGTAAAGCTGCGGCGGCTGCGGTTGCTGTGATGTTTTTTTGTTTTTTTTTTGCCGCCTCGTCTCGCTCGTGATCTCGCCGCTGGCTTCACTACAGAGGTAGCTTCACGGCTGAGCTCGGCGATTGGCGCGACATTTGAAGAAATAAAAATGGCGTTGCTACCGAAGTGGTGATCTACTCTGCGCAATATATAGGCCATTCCAGTAATCGTCTTTTCCGCGCTGCCGTCTTTGTCTACTAGGTTGCGGAATGTGTTGTTAGCGTGACAGTTTCTTTTCCTCCGTTAAATATCAGCCGCATCGCATGCTTCCTCGCAGCTCAGTGACGGGACACTTTTTTTTTTCTTTTGCCCGGATAAGCGCTGGAAAGGTGTATAGCTATACTATACACTTTTGTAAGCAACCTTGCATCAAACACTAGTCTGTCCACAGTGTGCGTAATAAGAACGCTTTGTTGGGGCGCCGGTCTGGCGATCGTCGAAACTCTTCCCAAGCCTTTAACAGGCTTGACTATCGGATGATTCAAACACACACCAGCAGCAAGATGACGGCTCCAAGAGATCACTTTTGCATACGTGTACGGTCTGTTGCAACGTTCGCGAGTTCGCGACGCAAGATCTGCAAGAAAAGCCGCTCCTCAAAACTAAAAAAAAAGATAATAATCTGCTAAAAAATAAGAAAGAAGGTATTCTTGGCGTCACAGAATGAGTTTGTTCCCGAAACATGCGCTTCTATAACGTCATACATCTGCTTGGCAAGTGACGTTATATAATCTGGGGATTTGTCAGCTCGATGGTGTTTAGCACCTGTCTGTCTGTCTGGCTGAAAAACTTTATTGAAGGTATATCATGAGGGAGGTAGTTTGAGGTGGCCCGGAGGGGGCCACCTCTCACAAACACTAGTCACTGAACGGCATTTTACCAGAAGAGAACCACTGGCACGGCATCCTTCTTTTGTGTGGGCGGAGTTCTGCCCTTCGGGAGGGGGTGGGGCGGTGGGCGGTGGCGGTTTCTGTAGTAAAACGTGCGCCCTAGGTTGTGGCAGAAGTAACTTGTCGTCTGTCACAAACAACCACTTTGATGGTATGGTATAAACGTCGTGGAGGCTCGCTGTCATCACTTGCAAATCAAACACACAACCATGGCGGCCAGTAAATGCGCCTGAAGCGACTCCAGGGGGGGGGGGGGGGGGGGCTGTGTTCGACAAATGTTTCGTTTCTCCTAAACAGAAACGGAAGTGACAGAAGTGACGATATCGCGTCTGATTGGTAAGAGGCTCAAATGACGAAAGTTTCCTCTTTCGTCGTTTGAGCCTCTAAGCAATCAGACGGGATATCGTCACTTCCGTCACATCCGTTTCTTTTTAGGAGAAACGAAACATTTGACGAACATCGCCCCCCAGGTCCATGTGAGCATATACAGGGTGTCACAAAAGAAAATTTACACGGTCTTTTTTACCGCAAAAATAAACTAGGCATCGCCGAACGCTCATTCTCCGCCCAAAGGTAGCGCTAGAGGTCACAACCAGATGCCAACGTTTCAGCCCGATCCGATAACTTAATCAAAAGTTATAAGTGATTTTCTGAAAACTTCAATGGGAAAATGGCGACCGACGGATTTTTCAAACACATGGGGCTCTATGGCACCAGAAACCAAAAACGGGCAAAAATGGGCTCCATTTTCCCATTGAAATTTTCAGAAAAACACTAATAACTTTTGAATAAGGTATCGGATCGGGCTGAAACTTTGGCATCTGGTTGTGACCTCTAGCGCTACCTTTGGGCGGAGAATGAGCGTTCGGTGATGCCTGGTTTCTTTTTGCGGTAAAAAAGACCGTGTAAATTTTCTTTTGTGACACCCTGTGTTTTCTAAAACCTTAATGTTTTCTAAAACCTTAATGTTTTCTAAAACCCCCCTACAATAATGCCCACAGGGCGATGTAGGTACAATGTAAATAAATAAAATAATAAATATCCTGGATGAAACTGACTCGAAGGTGTACTGACCGTGCCTTCTCCAGAACGCCAATCATTGGTGCTCCTGCAAATGTCCTTCAACGTTGTCAAGCATCAACTAATCCCTGTTCATGGGCGCACCAGTCCATTTGATTACTATTCGTTCGGCTGGAAATCGTTACAATCAAATAGTGCCTATGAATTCCTCGGCGTACACATGAGTCAATGTCTTTGACGGTCGTTCCATATTAATCACATCTCGTTCCCACTGCAAGCAATTCACGGACTGTACGGAACGTACTTCGAACTTCCCTCCCTCACACCTGAAGCTCATACATATACAGCCTACACGACTCTCGTCCGCACGCATTTAGAATACTCCGCAGCGATATGGGACTTTAGAACTGGCACGTAGCCAGGTTTTTGGTTCCGGGGGGGGGGGGGGGGGGGGGGGGGGGAGTTTCGCCTATGACAAATGCTGTATGAGGGGGAGGGGAGATCCCAGCCAAATGGAAGATTTCGGGGAAGGGGGGCCCGGGCCCCATGCCCGCCCCCCCCCCCCCCTCCCCTTCTGGCTACGTGCCTGCTTTAGAATGACGGCATTACTCATCGAAAACTCACAAGTAATCCAAAATTGAGCTGTTAGGTTTGCATACCTTGACTGCTCGTCTTCTACACGTGTCACGCAACTTAGTCTTTGTCAGTAACTTGCCAGACCGGCAGTTTTAAAGATAGGAATGCATTGCAGTGACGTCATTGCTGCGCCATCAGTGCCAAGCCGCGTCAGGATGCTTACCCTGCTATGTTCTGCTACATTTAACCCAGATGTCAGCACTTTCCGTCCACACTGCGCCAAATATTAAGTTTACTTCCTCAACTCGAGCAAATCTGCATAAAATACACGTCTTACAAAAAACAGTTCCCAAGAGTTGTTGAAAATATTCCGTCTTACTTTCACAGACATGAGTTGTTCGTAAAATAAATTATATTACCAATAAAAAAAAAGTACGATTATTGGCTTTCTAAAGCATTTAAACAAGAGGTCAAAACTAAATCATCGTTTTAAAAGGATTAGCTAACTTGCAAAGTTAGCTCATCCTTTTAAAAGCCTACACAACGCCTACACAACCTACAGCCTACACAACGCGACGTAGTGAGCCTTGGAAAGTTAACACTCATAGAACAGTCTACGGGCAAGACACTTTGAAAACCAAACTCCCAAGATTACTTAAGAGATTAGCTGCCGCAAATGTCGGCCTTTTAGATATCACATTGCGTTGTTATTGCAGCCCCCAGTCGACATTTCTTATGGAAAAAATGCTGTGTAATATTATTAAACCTTGCCAATTGTTGTGCATGTGCGCGATCTTGTTTTTTTCTTGTTAATGTATTTCCAGATATTCTTCGTTGCGTGGTTTGACGTAATTTGACGGTATCCGTTGTTGCTTCTCTTTATTCTCTTTATAATTTTTGTTTCTGTTAATGCTCTAAACTGTGTGGTATGTTGATTGTTATTTATTTTTTGTGCTGCATAACTGCCATTGTGGTGGCCTGTGGCTGTGTCAAGCTGGAATTGTGACAGCTCTTTACACAAGCCTCCATTATTCTTTACTTTATACTTGATGCGAATAAAAAAGAAACAACTTATTAATGATGCTGGAACTAATAGCTCGGGCCACATTACCCTGCCGGGTCGGCGTGATAGGCCTGACCAAATTTGGAAAACGTACGAATGTTGCTTCGAAACACGTACTATTTCATTTGAGTTTCATTTCGAACACTGACGGGACCTGAATGTTCCTTGATATCTCTAATAATTCGTAATGAGTTCAAGCGGTCTACTTAAATAAAAATGGCGTCCTCCCACGACATAAGGCTTGTTTCCTTACTTTGTAATGCGAAAGCACAACTGTCCTATAGAGATAACCGGCGTTATCAGCCCTTAAAGCTGCGCCAAATGGAATTTAAATTCCCCTCTCCCATGGAGCGAAGCCTGTAGTACGTAGCAGCGAATTGATGGATAAACTCCCAATAGGCTGGCGCGCGGCATAGTTCCAAGGAACGCCACCCCACAGAAAAGCCCCCTAAATGGCGCAGCGGGCAGGCCGCCGGTAAGAGGGAGAGAGTGGCCGGGCTTTGCACAGCGGCCGAGCGGCCGTGTCGGCCGGCCGCAGATCCCGCCAGGGCAGCCTACGCAGATGACGCTCGGCCGCCCTCAGCGCGGCGCGTAG